TCTGTATGAATTTTCACGTGTAGAGAAGGGAGAGGAAAGGGAAACATTTTCATTCATTATAACCTTCAGGCACTCTGGTTCTCCTGGTTTTTAACACTTGGATTTTCGTCCTTTTGGAGATGAAGGGGAGGAGGAAAAGGTGAGAGAGTTTGAATTCACCTTGACTTCTCTTTGGCTTTAGCTGCCAAATATGCATCGAGTCATTATCAGAAAAGAAAATAATGTGTTTGTGTCTCCACTGAGACTCGAGCAATGATACCACTTGAGGGGCAGAGAGACTGTCATGATGCATCACCACCCTGGAGGCACTGAAGTATCTCTATGCAGCTGCTCAGCCAGAAAAGCTACTCAGATTGCCAAAGTCCTTTCAATGAGCTGAGCCCAAGGCAATATTGTAGCAGGAAACTGCCTCTTTAAAAATTAAAAAGAGTTATTTTTGCATCATTTGATTTGGATTATTTAAAACATATTTCATTATAGGTCATCTGTGTTGCCAGAAAACAAAAGAATTTGCAGTTGATTCTATTCAGATCAATTTCTTAAAAATACAAACATCTTCAGTACATAATTCCTTACACAGACACAGGATAGCCTGTAGCACACCTCCAGAAACCAGGAAATTGCAAGGGTTAGTTCTATTCTAGTACAGACAGGTGGTATGCAACCTGCACAGATTTCCATGAGTGTCTCAACAGTGACCAAGAAAAATGGCTCCTTACTTAGCCAAGGATTATCACTTGGTTGAAACAACAAAAAATTAGCAAGAGGAACTTCTATTCCGTTATTTAGTCTCGCTGTATCAAATTCAGTCCACCCTTTGTGGGCCAGCTGGAGAAATGACCTAAAAGTGCAGTTACATTTAGGCCTAGGAGAAAGTTGGCATCTCTTGCTCATGCTGTGGTGGAAGAGACCATTGATGTTAAACCTGCTGGGTTTTTTTCCATTTGACCATCACTGTGTTAGAGACAGCCAGTGTTAGCAAGGAGATCTAGGGGTGACACGTTATAAGACATGCTGTTCCAAGCTGAGAAGCTGGATGGGCAGAGGAGAGAGCAGAACCTCCCTGGGCATGGCGGAGTTGCTTCCTGGACCCTTGCCTTTTCCAAAATAAGTCTGTACGTTCGCCCAGCATAAAAGAGAAAGTGAAAAAGTAGCTCTTGCCCCTCTGTATCAGACCATGCTGCACCAGCCCACAGTGAGGATTTTCACATCACCATAAGAGCAAAACTTTTTTTCAC